TTTTTTTTGAAAACTTGTAACTAAGACATGTCCTGTAGTGTCGCGACCTAGAGCCGCGACACTTATAAACTACTAACTTAAACTATATAATCATTCTAACATTTACATCAAAACATTTAAGTTTCTGGCTCCGCCCCATATCACCACCCTCGGAGGGGAGGCTGAGAGCCTGACTGACGGGTGCGTCATCAATGGGGAACGCGAATGCCGGATGTTGATGGCGGGGGTCGGGCGGTCTGATGTTTTCCCCATACCCGACGCCCGAATTCCGCATGGATGGTGCTTCCCCATTTCAGCACTCCGTTCACACAGGCGCACTTCAGTGCCCTGTCGAAACTCAACACCTGCTCTGTTGGCTCGTTGGCGCGCGGCCATATCCCTCTGGCCCCGACAACGATTGGGCAGAAGACAAATGCCTTGCCCGGCCACCTCTTTCGAGCTCCCTCCAGAAATCCGTCGGTCGCGTACTTTGCCCTTTTATCCGCGTAAGCCACGGCCAGTGGTCGGTCAGCGCCGTCCCAGGAGACTTGGACGTCGGCAATCACGGTTGTCAGGCCATTGATGTGGACCGCCATGTCAGGCTTGAAGAGCTGTCCGGCGTCGGACCGCACGTGAGGCTCGAGCTCTACGGCGTAGCGTTTGCCACGGCAGTGCTCGGCCACCCGGCGGACGACGTCGTTATGTCGCGCAATTCGCGAGTCGTGCGTTGTAGGGCACGACTGCAGGACATGGCAAATTGTCTCAATGACCCCACACCCGCTCCTGCACTTACGGAGCTCCTCGGGTTTCCCCGGAAGTCCCGCCGTCGCAAGATTCCCGGTCCTTAGCTGAACGGCCCGAACATAGTCTCGCCCGGTCCATCCTCTCGGCCTAGCGCGCACCCACGACCTACTAGAACCGTCGTCGCACGCCGCCTCGAGTCCGCGAGTCATCGGGCCATCGGCCAATGCTTCCCTCCACTTTTGTTGGGCAGGCACGTCGCCGGACATGGACTGCAGCCGCCGGAGGATACCCTCATACCGGGCTGACTGAAGCAGGCAGCAGATCAGAGGGTCTTCGCTCCTTGATAGGAGTTTAGTGTACCGTCCCAAGAGCTGATATGGGACGGCTTGAGCCAGCTCCAACACCCCTAGTCCGCCGTCCCTGATGCTCCCGTGAATTACTGCATTTGGTGTCGTCATCGCCAGATGGGCGATGCGTTTCACTGCCGACCTGATCAACCTGTCACAGTCTTTCAGTGTCGACAGTGTGACTCGATTATTCTGAAGCCCGTACAGCAATTTCGGGATCAAGAAGGACCGGAGAAGCTCGAGGCGCTGGTCCGGCTTCAAGGGAGACGTGCATGTATTGTGTAGCCAGCGCCGCAGGTTAGGGATAGTCGGTTTCCGGACACCCGAGGCTCCGAAGTGATGGCCCAGATACCGGAAGCACTGCAAGTGCTGCACCGCCGGTATCTTTTTACCCCCGATTGTGAACACTGGCCTCGTCAACGCGACTGGTCTCTTGTCGCCTCCGGATGGTGTTGCGGACAACGCCACGCACTTGGCGGCATTCAACGACATGCCGCGATTCGCAAGGAAACGCGACACATCCTCCAGCATTAGAGGAACCTCCAACTGCTGGTCCGCCAAGAGTATGACGTCATCCGCAAATGCCATCAGGGCGACACTGGAATTCCCGACCACGGTACCCCCTTTGTATCGGGCATTAATGCTGTCTATCATCTCATCGAGTACCAAGTTGAACAACAGCGGACTTAACGGGTCACCTTGGCGAACGCCTCTGCAGATGCGCACCGGTCTGGATACCTCCGCTCCGACCTTGAACTGGGTCACAGAACGATCTAGCCCCGACATTAAAAAGTTGGTGAGAACCTGAGGGGCTCCCACTCTATTTAGGGCCCTGCGGATAGAATGGTGCGACACCGTGTCGAACGCCTTACGAACGTCGAGCGAGATCACGCTATACGCACTCCCCCGCTCGACTCTGGACGAGATGTAGTTGTCCAGAATAGCCACGTTCGCAAGCGTCCCATCCGTCTCCACAAAGCCCCGCTGGTTGACATTCAGCGTAATGTTATTCCGAATCTTATAGTTGATCGTTCTGTGAAGCAGTCGTTGGACGGCCGACCCGATGGTAATGGGTCGCCAGTTGGAGGGGTCTTTACGATCTCCCTCCTTGGGCACCAGAATAGTTCGCATCTGCCTAAACGAACGCGGTTGGATATTCCCGAAGACGATGATGTTAAATATCACCGCTAATTGTTCAGCCGGGATCGACTTGACAGTAGACACCGTAATGCCGTCAGCTCCGGGGGCCGAGTTTTTCCAAAATTTCGAGGCACCGATAATATCAGTCGCCGTCAGAGGCCCGAGTTCCCAACCGGGTTTCGGGTCAACAATTATCTCCGTATCCTCGGGTGACGTAGATTCCAAAATCCCGCCATACAGCCCGACCACACTCTCCATTGAAGGAACCTCTGAACCGCTACCCACCCCAGCGCCCGACAGGATTGCATCCGCGACGGTACTGCGGCTCTTAGTCCACAGATCTTGTGCCTTTTTATAATCCGACGCCCTGGCCCCCCTGCCAGTGTTTCGTTGGCCGTAGTTCCTAATTGGCTCACTACGGTCCGTGACTGCGTGACGTTGACCGGCCCTAACTGGACGACCCTTCGCCCCCGATAGTCCCCCCAACCAGGCTTCAACCGCCATGACTAAGGGGACCCCCTGAGCGGTCATAAACAGATCGATCAGGGTTTTTATCGGGTTTGAGTTGTCGCCCGCCAGACCAGTACGTACGGTTGCCAGGAGATCCCTGAGCTCTACATTGCTGAAGGCTGACTCATCAAACACACTGGCAGAAGAACCGACAGAAAGTGGAGTTTCACACGGATCGATAGCCCGACGCCCCTCGGTCCCCATACCGGCCCCGGGCGACACCGGCCTTCTCCTCCTAGGAGGAGGGGTCAGTGACACACGCGAACCAGCTGGCGCACGAGAAACGGCGGAACCTGCAAGAAGTGGATGCTCACAGTTCGGAGAATAGGCGGGACGCGCGGGAGCTGAGGGCTCCGCACGCGGTCGGGAATTTCTGGAGGAGGGTGACCTCTCGTTGGAAGGGACAGTTGAACACGGCCTTTGAGCCACCGTGTCGACAGAACAGGGTGAGCCAGCCGGCTGGTCTCCCCCGGATGGCGATGGAATGCCGGTCCGGTTGCTCCCTGCAGC